CATTCCGAAATCAAAGCGAGACAGTCTAGTACCGTTTTTATCAATGTATTGTATACTTGAGTGCCGTTTTTGTATATGTGTTGTGTACATGTTTATTTATAAACGTATGTGTTCCTTTCCTTTCGCACGTATTTATTGATATATCTGTACTGTAGTGTTTTCGGACGGTACTAGCTCTTACTGCCAATATAGGAGTATTACATATGTATATGGATAGAAGAGAATTTCTTTTCCATTTCTTGTGCGTCATTTTGTATGAATTTTTCGTTTTTATTAGGAGCTGCCAACAGCCCTTAAGATTGTAAGTGCCAATATATTATTTTTACTAGTTATTTTTATGTTCTAATATCAGATTACTGATTTACCGACTTTCGTACCAAACTGGAATTAGAACAAAAGTGAGTTAGGGCTTTTCTATATTATGGTTAGGATATAAATATTTCATCCGTTTGCGATCGCCATCTGGCGACCCGATTTTATTCAAGTTTATTTTTTATCATAAAGGTAATGTGCGTACTAAGTTTGAACTAAATCGGACCTTTTTTTTAAGTAACGACCCCGGCGCCACATATTGAGTTATTTGGTAAGCTATGCTGAGACCAGATGCCTAAAAAAACACCCGAAACTTTTATTTAAACCCATTAAGAACTTTGCAAGATTAACGTGTTTAAAAACATTGACTTCATTTAATACTATGTATATGTAGATAGCAATGCTACACCTCTCTATACATACTACATACATAAATGCTCGTTAAGTTTAGTTATATTAGATAGTGACAGAATTGTGGCAACGAAAACAATGAACAGTAACATACCAATTAGGCCACATGACAACCCGCCAGTGAATTTCTAAAACTTGTCAATCACTTTTGCCATCTGCTTTTTTCTCTTCATCTTCAACATGTGGCGAATGTGACAAATATGTACAGCACCGTTGTAAGTCAGAAAAATACCTACATACATACGTACGTATAATGTACATTAGCGTGGACCGAAAACACGCTTTTTTAGAAATTTGATTGGTAATAGCAAAAATATGGTTCATTATGCTCTAAAAAATATCTGCGTGAAATGCGAAAGTTTTTGGTCAATATCCTAGGCTCGCCCTAGTCCATCAAAGTTCAAGTACTAAAAAAACTTTGTCTTAGCTAACTTCGATTCTCTACAAAAAGGTCCATATACCTAATTATGTAGGACTAATACTTTAGAAGATTATTGTAATTTTAGTAAAAAAATGTATTACTTAATTTATTTATAAATTTTTATTTTTTGGCCATATTGAACGTTGATGGACTTGGGCGAGCCTAAGATATTGACCAAAAATTGTCATATTTCACACAGAGTGTTTTTAAATCCTAATGCTATTACCAATCAAAATTCTAAAAAAGCGGATTATCGGCCCACGCTAATGTACATATCGATGGTCTTCTGCCATAATGACTCAGCTCAAAATTAAAAAAAAGTAAGTGCGCCTAGGCCACACTGGAGAAGTGAAACTTACGTTACATACATATCTATTTTGTCTCATAACCAATATACATATATGTATTTGTACATATGCACATACATCTGCTTTTACTTAAGGTTATATTTTTGGTCCTTTTTTCTATCTAGATCCCTACCTCTACCCCTGTTCGTTCTAATTACATTTATGTTATTTTGTTTTCCTATATCTTCATTTTTATCTTTATACTCTATCGATAACAAAATCGATAGTAACATCCAATAAAATATCGATAACAAAACCGGCAGAAATATCGATATCAAGATCGATGAAAAAATCGATTATAATTTCGATAGCAAAATCGATAATAATATTGGTAGCAAAATCTATTAGAAACCCAATAAAAATTTCCATAAAAAAATCGATAACAAAATCGCTCAATATCGATAGCAAAATCGATAAATATCGATAACCAAATCGATAAAAATATCTGACTAAATCCGTCAAAATATCGATACCAAAATCGATAAAAATATCCATACCAAAATCGATAAATACCGATAATAAAATCAATAAATATCGATAACAAAATCGATAACTATCGGTAACAAAATCGATAAATATCGATAACAAAATCGAAAAATATCGACAACAAAGTTGATAAATATCGATAACAAAATCGATAAAAATGTCGATAACAAAATCGCTAAATATCGATAACAAAGTCGATAAAAATGTCAATAAAAAATCGATAAAAATATTAGTAACAAAATCGAAAAAATATATCGCTAACAAAATAGCTAAAAACATCGATTACAAAATCGATAATAAATCGATAAAAATATCGATAACAAAATCGATAAAAATATCGATTATAATATCAATAATTTCCGGAAATATCGCTGGCAAAATTGGTAAAAATATCGATAAAAAAGTGATAACAAAACCAATAACAAATATCGATTATTTTATCGACAAGTCTCGAGAATTCCGAAAATTTCTATAATCCCAAAATAGTTTCCAGATTGAGTCTCTGTGTCTCCCTCTACACCCTTTCCGCTTTAATTACCTTTATTTTAATCTTTCTTTCCCTATATTCATCTTTACTTTATCGCTATCCTCATCATCATCTTTGTTTTTACTTTTATGTTTATCATTTTCTTTATCCTCATATTCCCCTTCCCCTTTGCCCTTTTATATATAAGTAAAGTGTTTAAATTTACCTTGGTCTTCATTTTTGTCTATATCTTTACGCATCTTTGTTTTTCTTTTTATTTTTACCTTTGCCTTTATCCTTTTCTTTATCTATGTACGTACTCACCTTTACTATCATTCTTGTATTGGCCTTTTTCTAAGTGTTATTCTGTAACCTTTTATTAGCAAATTTTTGTAAAATTAATATCATATGCATACAAAAAAGAAGCACTTGTTTGAGATCCAACCATTTCCGTTGCATCATTTCCATTGCACCATTTTCGTGTGCAACTTCCGATGAATTTGCCAATTTACTCCCTACCAATCAACCGCCGCTAAAGAAGTTTCACTTCAAAAAAATACCATTATTATCGTAAATTAAATGATAGCATTTTTTGGTTGCATATTTCCCTCCAAAAGGTGGGGTCTAAATCCCCAAAACCCCTTGCGACCGGGCCTGCGTGGAAGTTTTACGTGCACTTTTTATAGTGTCCATATCGATGGTCCTCTGCAATAACGACACAATTCCAAATTCGAAAAATTAAATATCTTACCACTTTTAAGTGGCTCATGTCTCTAATCCTCGTCTACTACAGTAAGTAATAAGGATTAGACAAGGATTAGAGACTTGAGCCCATTAGCGCACACAAGGGGTGGGTTTTGGGGTTCAAACCCCCCCTAAAGCTAATAACCTCAAATACAATATGTATCTTAAAGCTAAGAATCCAGCTCTCAAGGAAATTATAAGAAATATTTATTACAATTTCTGTTGCTTGAAAAAGCGCGAAAATATACGAGCTTTTTTTTCTTGAGAGCTGCAAATTGATTTAAGAAATTTTGGTAGAAGAATATTTCTTTTCCATTTCTCGTCCGTCGTTTTATATGAATTTTTCGTTTTTCTTGAGAGTTCAGTTAATTTTTTCGGTATTTGAAATATTAAAAAAATTTAGCAATTGTGAAAAATCACCAACTCTATCGAAAACCAGAAATCAAAAAATGAACATAGAAGTGCAAAAATTCATGGAATCAATAAATTTATTTTTACTGACTCTTTTTTAAAATTTTTGATTAGGTACTTTTGAAAGTTGAGCGCATCTTGAGTTTATAGAACTTTTTATTAAACAAGTAGTTTTTAAGGAAAGAACACAACCGACTTCAATTCTCATATTCAAATTTAGGGGTACCATTAATTTCTTCATGACCATCATCGGATCTCTAAAACAAATTACGGGACGAACCTTGAGGTACTATCTTTCTAATAAAAAAAGGATTATTGAAAACGGTTCACGTGGTGCAAAGTTATGTATTCCGGCGAGATGATAACCTCCCTTTTTTTGAAGTCGGTTAAAAGCGTTTGAGTTCTGTTTATCCGTAAATAAAGTGCAGTTTATGAATTTTAAAACGTTTATTTATTTATTACATACTGTACATAAAACTTGCCAAATGTATTTTAAAGGGGGTATTATCTGAAGCAAATTTTCAGTATTTTCCGGTGATATATCTTCAGAAATATAAAACCCCCCTAAAATATATTCCTGGGTGCGCCCCTGCTTGAGCCAATTAGCAGTAGTAGGATATTTAATTTTTTGAATTTGGAATTGTGTCGTTATTGCACAGACCATCGATATGGACACTTTAAAAAGTGCACATAAAACATCCACGCAGGCTCGGCGCAAGGGGGGCTTTGGGGATCGTGCTTCATTCAAAACTCTGTTTACTATCCCGGGACTGGATTCTGTAACTGTGAGCTTTCAAGTGTACACTGAAAATTGTGTACACTCTTCATTTTGCGATTCAGGAAGTGTGAGAATGAGTTTGAGCTGTCAAAATTGTGTACACTTCTCTTCCGAAAAACTCACATTTTATAGAACAAATCTATAGTTTTTATTAAAATAACTAAAAACAAGTTATTTGTAGACATCTTTCAGATTTGCTAGATTTTTTTCAAGCGAATGGTAAGTATTTTTTTCGTCAGTGGCAACCCTGATCACGAGTACAGTGCTGCACTCGCTCAATGGCAATTTATACATATGTATGTAATTAGTAGCGGCACATAAAGTGAACTAAATGCATTCATGCATATGTATTATGGATGTTTCGAATGTCATATTATTGAAATTCGCGAATGCGAATGCGAATGTTAGGAATAACAGTCATCGTTTTTATTACTTAAAAAGTTTGTAAATTATTAGAACATTGAACGAGTGCTTAACCTGTACAGTATTTTAATCTAGTAGTCAAAGTTCAAAAGGGGAATATTATATTTCAAAAAAAGTAATTTTGCTGCCTTTGCTCACTTGGAACGCTGGCGGGTGGAGAGCTCAAATATAAGACATTAACGACTTTTTCTAAATACTTACATGCCAGCTGAATATTTCCTGTAAGTAAAAAAGAAAAAATTTGAATTAGTTGAGTTTTTCAAATTAAAAATATACCAAAGAGAAAGAATCATGACGCATATGAAAAAAAGACGGAAGATTTTGTATTTTTGAAAGCCACAAAATACATTTTTTTGTTGGCTGCATTTCTTTATTCATTCTGAATGTTTGGAATAAACTTTTTTATTTATTTATTCTTTAGAACGTTCCTGATGATATGTTGACGTATATTTCAAACGCATTCTGTTTATTCCGGCTGTGAAATGGGATTATCCGGAATGTATAAAGAAACGCAGCCGTTATGTTTTCTATCAAAAGCATTTATCCTTTCAGTTTATAAACGTGCTTTATGGACAAAAAAAAACTATGAGAAAAGAGTTTATTTACATCACCAATGGGCGGCTGATCAATGTCTGGTTACCACTTATCTCCTATTAAACGTCGTTATTGACGTTACTGACACTCTGTTGTATGTATGGAGCAGGATTGTTACGAATATTCGCATTCGCATTCGCAACCTCGGAGCTTCCGCATTAATTTTAACATTCGAATTCGCTTTCGCATTCGCAATAATCAATGCGGAGCTTTTGCGAATGCGAATATTGTGCAAGTGCACTAATAAAACGTATATCTGGAAAACAAAATGACAAATAGTAGCCAATATTTTTTGCCTGTGGAGATACTACGTTAAAACTGTCCCCTACGTCCCCTTCTTTTGTAATTTAAAGTCAAAGAGTAAAATCCTTCAAAAGGTATTTCCAGGAAATGTTCAGCGCCTAGCTATTTATAAAGTGAATCGGCCATTTGCTCGTAAAAAAAACCTTAATTATGGAAGAATTATGTAACTATCGAATAATATTTGCCAAAGGTCTCTTGAAAAACTCGATGCATCGCGAGCGGTGAGTAATTAATTGTGAGTGCCTGCAACTAGGAAAAGTCAAGGTCAGCTAATTAAAAACGAATTACAAGCTATTCATTACAGGTGAACCCTTCCAAGAAGTCACCCGGGAACTAAGCAGATCTGAGACTTTATCGTCCATGATTGACTGGTAGCCACGACTTTGAAAACAGAATTTTCTTACTAATTTTCATTCCTAGTGTTTAAGCTACTTATGCATTTCCCCCATAAGGTAAGTGCAGTGAACACACACACGCAATTGTATTGCACTCCCGCCTAAAACCAATTGCAGCGAATAAACACTAGCACTTGCGTTTAAAAGTACTTCGCTCGTTCTTAATTGGGTATGCATTTTTTATGCAATTCTCAAATATCTCTTCGCCGAACTTAGTGAAGTGATAAGTCGCTGGTATTTTCAGCTATGGTCAACGCTAAACCTGCTTGGCTGTCACACGGCGCACCCACTCCACTCCCGGAGTAATTTTTGGCATGGTAGTAAGCTACGGCTTAAAAACCACGCTGGGGCCCTGCACGAATGCAACCCTGAATGAATCCCAGCTCATTGCACAGCAGCCTACGGCAGCTAGAGCATGACTCCTCCAATGGAGTCCCTCAATGAATACACGGTGAAAGGGTCACATCTTGCGCTACCGCTTCATCAGCCTGCCCGCATATATAAACACTCGCACCAAAGATTATCCCTATCTCCTCTACTCCTCTAACTGGTCTCCCGTCTCCCTCAGCTAAACACCTAGAAAATAACAATTTATTTTGTCGCGGATGTCTAAAATTCCACATTCGCAACATCCCTAGTATGGAGTCGAAAAAGTCGATAATGATGTTTAACCGTAGATTAGTGTTAAACAGCCATTGATAACCGGCCATGAATATGTACCTTACCACATCTTGCTGACTCAGTGTACTATTTTTTTCTTCTCGGCACTCAGAGCCGCGAAAAATGGATTGGGGGTAATAAAATAGCAGTCGAATTCGTAAAAAAGAATTACGCTTACATCACTATTATACACTATTTTATTATGAGCTTGTTGTAAATGACTGCCCTTGCAATTTTCTAGGCTGAATCCCAATCTGGGCTAAAAATTTCTCTAACACGTTAGGCTTTTGAGATATTCCAACCTAAAAGTGCAAACTACATCGTTTTTGGCATCGCAAATAATTTTTTCACAGAAAACTATTCACCGCATCTTAAAATACCAATCTGTCTCTTTCGAATGCCGTCATTATGCCACTTTTTTTTTTCTTCGCTGATGTGTCGCAGCTTGTTTAACCAAGATATTTTCATTTTAAGTTTGTATTATGAATGAAAAAAAAGATCAAATTTTAAAATGGAAAATGTTACTCATACGCCATGTATGAGTATGACCGCATATTTCACCCAAAAAAATCATTACACATTAGGATTGGACCATTCACAACTTACATATTTCTTTATCCATCGATTTTCCAGCCAGCATGATTTTTTTTCTGAATAACAGGCTTTAATTCAAATGACAAAAATTTACAAAAAATCGGTTAGTTTTTAAATTTTTCCCTTTTAAAGCTGATGTTTTCATAAAAATGAAAATATTTCGAGAAATTGCCTAATCTAGAAAATTAGAATTCAGATTCGTAATCTACGACTCAAAAGTAAGTTCACGTATTTCGACGTTTTATTTTGTTATTTCAAAACTTGAGATTTTCCTTATAGTGTTATTAGATTCCATAAAGCATAATTTAGCGGCCGCTGTGGTGTTGTGGTTAGCAGTGCGCACTGCCATTCCGCAGGACCTGGGTTCAAGCCTGGTTTCCGACCAACATCAAAAAATATAAAAAAAGAAGTCTGATGAGGAGATGTGGTGACCTCCGAAATAGCTGCTATAACTCCTACCGCTTAAGCATTGTTTTTTTTTCATTTTTCCTAACAAACAAAGTGCATATATAGGCATATTTGATCAAAAAGGCATATTTAGTTGCATTTTTTATTAAAAGCCGTTTGTCTAGAACGGACGAATCACTCCACAATTGAAAAGTATTTGATGATTCTATGCAACTATTGGGTACTGATTTCGTCGAAAATTATTTTAATGCCACTGACGCAGTGCCATATATCGAGCCCTAACCGCCAAAAAACGTGAATTTTTTTTAATATTTTTGATGCAGAATTGCATCTAGATGCTCAAGGTACATTTCTACAACAAAAAGAAAAGTTTTGAAATATATGGCCTGGTTAGAAGCGGCAAAATATTTTTGCCTACATTTTAAGGAATTTCAAACCTTCCTTAAAGATCCAAATTATAGTGACGCTTCTTCAATATTGAGGGCGAAAAAAGTAATATCTTCAAATTCGATTAAAGCACGGTTAGCCTATATCAATGCAAACTACAGCTTCTTGTCGGAAATAATGGGTTGGATATCCTTTATGGCCGTTCGTTAAAAGGGCGGTGGGCGAAAGGTAAGTGGGCGTGGCATCTCTAACGCACCTTTTTGGAGAGGGAATGAACCGCCATTGACAAAAATGCAACCCCCGACCACCTAGGTCCCCTATGGTTCCCTAGGGACCCCTTAGAAAAATTGTCAAAAATCACAATTTTCATTTGCGTTTATTCGCTTGAAAAATGTTAAATATTCATTTGCACAATACATTTTTATATACTCATTTTTATATACAAGACATTTTTATAAAACACCCAGTAACGAAAATGGACATCACTGGGGCGGCAGCCCCAGGTTTACCACACAGAAAGGGAATTTTAGTTACCTCATCCTTTCCCAAGGTTACATCACTGGGGAGCGGTACAGAGAAGTAAATAACTTAGAACACGATCTAAAATTAGAAGTGTATGGGGAGTGTATGTGATATTATATGCGCTACCGTTATATCGGGTGTATTGAAAAGGATTGCAGAGTCATGATATTCGGTTAACTTACAATCCCCATACACTTCGTTTAGAGAAAACAGATACATACCCGAATAAAAAAAAGTAAGTGCGCCTGGGCCACACTGGAGAAGCGAAACTTACGTAACATATCTATTTTGTCTCATAACCAATATACATATGTACATACGTATGTACATACTATATAATGCATACATCCGCTTTTGCTTAAGGTTATATTTTTTGTCTTTTTTTCTATCTAGATCCCTACCTCTATCCCTGTTCATTCTTATTATATTTATGTTATTTTGTAGTCGATATTAATAATAGATAACAAAACGGATACAAATAGCGATAAAAAATTTCGATAGCAAAATTCATAAGCAAAATCGAATAGACGATCGATAAAAATACCGATAACAAAATCGATAAAAACGATAACAAAATCGATAACCAACATCGATTAGAAAATCTATAAATATATCGATAGCAAAATCGATAAAAATATCGATAACAAAATCAATAAATAATCGATAACAAAATCACTAAATAATCGATAAATAACCGATGACAAATTCGATAAAAATTTCGATAGAAAATCGATAGAAATATCGATAACAAAATCGATAAATAATCGATAGAAAAATCGATAAATAATCGATAAACAAATCGATAACAAAACCGATAAAAAAATATCGATTAATATATCGATAAGTCCCGAGAATCCCGAAAATCTCTAAAAACCTAAACAAGTTCCCAGACTGAGTTTCTGTGACTCTATGTATATCCTTGTCTCTATAATTATTTGAATCTTTCTTCCTCTATCTTCCTCTTTACTTTTATCGGTATCCTCATCCTCATCTTTTTCTTTATATTTATCTTTGTTTTTACTTTTATGTTTATCATTTTCTTCATCTACATATTCCCCATGATGCAATAATACAAGGTGGTATCAGTTGTGACAGCTCGATTTGACACTACCTTAGCTCAGTAGAATGAGAAGAAAAACGGGAAGAAATGAATCCCCATATGGGGGAAAAATATAAAATTTCACATTTTCTCCTTAACAAAATTTGCTTTTTTATAGTATATTCGTTATGAAATGAAATAAAATAAGATAAAATACCTTTTTAAGAAAACAAAGGTATACTGAGAAAAAATAAAAAGCATTCAACTATATTAATGGGCAAAGAATAGTGAAAGAAGTAACACTGTTGCACGTAAGG